GTATCAGGTGCACTTACAGAACATTTTCACACTTAAATTACCTATTAATAAAAATGCTATTCTTCCCACCCTTCTTCTTCTGGGTGTTTTTTTTTTTTTATGCATTTTTAACCTAGATGTTCTACTCTAAATGAGAACAATTGCTTTTGATATTTATTATTAGTGAAAAAGGATTTTCCTTGTTCTCAGGAATACTGAAAGAAAAAGCCAAGTGAAGGATTCAATACAATGTCACAAATAGCTGATCTATTTTAAGGCTCTGACAACTCAGGTACTACAGACTTGTCTAGACTGTAGTATGTGGATAAAATGGGACTTAATGAAGAATGTGAGGTACATGGAGGTCTACTGAGACAGTTTTACTTAGGCAGAGACAGAAAGGAAAGAATGGAGACAGAGTTACAGAAGAGGCATAGTCAAAACAGAATCATTCTATGGAGAACTCTGAAAACTAGGCCCTTAGGGCAAAGGTATGCTGTTGAGAAATTACTGATACCAGCCCATCATCATTGAATACCTATTATTCCTAACTATCAGGTGACTATCAATGGACCAATTTATGCCTTCTTCTATGATGCAAGGTAGTAAGAATGAAAAAGGAGGGGTTGAAAGTAAAAAAACATAGAAAGGCAAATTCAATGGATATTTTGATAATGAATAGAAAGGGAATCTGTTAATTCCAACACCCACAATTTTCCTTTGTAAAATTTTAAGACCAGTGTTATCCAGCTGTGATCACTGGATTATGAGAATTCCAAGGATTTCATTCTACTCTCAAGGCTGATGAAGTGGGTAGAAGGGACTTTATGAAAACAAAGAAGGGGTGATATTCAAGACTCACTTCCCCACCTTCATCTAGGGCACCTATGCTTTTATCTTCTACATTTATTGGTCTTTAAGGAAGATTTTATTAAATAAAATAATTTAATTTCTTATAAAAAGGGATTATTAAAATCACTAATCTAAATTAGAAACATTTCAAAATTAGAACCTTACTTCATTTCTGGTATAATCCCACCTTTCAATCTAATTCACTATAGGTACTCATTGAATTGTGACAAGTCTTAACAGATTTGGAAACTTATGATAATAGGTCTTCATACCATCTGTCCTCACCCCTCAAAATGCAGACTCTGTATCTGTGTTGTCCAACATAACAGCCACTAGCCATGTGTGACTATTTAAATTTAATTTATTAAATTTAAGTAACACTAGAAAATCAGTTCCCTTGTCATACTAATTTTAATTGTTCAATAAGCTCATGTAGCTAGTGTCCACCATATTGGATAGCACATACATAGAATGTTTCTATTACTTTAAAAGTTTTATTGAATAGTGTTATTCCATATGGGAAATATGGGGCTATTTATAGGTTACCTTGGTAAAACAGTAAAAAACTAAGGTTATTAACTTGCTATATAGTTTATTAAATAGCAAGGCATTTCAGAAAGTAATTTCTATTTGCGATGGCTTAAAATTATCTGAAAAACAAAAACAATGTACCATTTCTTCAAGTTACCTATGACAACAGAAAATGACAACTTCACACTAGGTATGCTTGTATCCCATCTCTTGTAATGGCTGAATATTTACCTCCCCTACTCATGTCTACTTTCTTCAATGTCAGGAATTACAACCTACCCACCCCAACCCCAAGCCCATCAAATTACCTGACACTTGAAGGCCCATAGTGAATATCAATTCAATTACAATGAGTTAAATATAGGTACAGAACATTAAAAAGCAATGCTGGGAACAAATACAAATCTCTTTTACCATGTCTGAAAACTAAAAGAAGTAAACAGCACAATTACTTCTTCCCAATAAAATACATTTTGGTATGCTTTATCAAACGGTCCTGACCTACTTTCATCTTACAGGAGTGTCAACCTCCTTGTGCTTCAGTTTTAACCATCCTAACACTGATGGTGATTGCAGCAAGGCTCCAAAGTAGAAGACAAACACTACAAAATGGTAGGCAAAATCCTGAAAGACAAAGGGTATCTATAATAAAAAACTGCAAGATTTTTATTTCTGTTCTTTATTCCAAATGATGAAGTTTAAGAAGACCAGAATATGTAATGAGTTGTAACTATACACATTGTCTATTTTAGCTATTATAACCACGCCAGTCTATTAAAATACCAATGAAAACCAACTGCCTCATTTTACTTGGTACAATGGCAAATCTGATGTACTGAATTTTATAATAAAATACATGATTTCATTTGGATTAAGATACACAGATATTAATATGAATTAACAGAAAATAAAAAAGGAATAACATGCTGTCTTTAAAATTCAAGTGAGCATCACTTAAATTACATCAAGATTCCATATATTTTATACTTAAATTTTCTGAGTAATTATTATTTTTATCATTAGATCATCCTCCTGTACACTAAGGACACAGAAGACTTAATCACAGAATTTAATGACATATATAGTCTGTTAAATAAATAATATATTTTAAAGCAAATAATATATACTTCTGCAAAATGAACAGAAACAATTATTTATTAGGTTATTGGTATGCGGTATGCTACTGGAATTAATGTGAAACATAACTGCATCAAAATTCACACAATCTTACCTGAATTACTATACTACCGGCACATTGTTCTTTGTTTTTAACAGCCCTTGTAGATCAGGTACTTCATATGCATTACTTCTGATCCTTACAACCATCACTCATTATTTCTATTTCACAAACAGAATGCTTCTTTCTTTTTTTTGGTGGCCCCCAACTAATCAGCACAGTAAAGATAGTAGTGCCTGGTTACTTATGCCTAACATAAGATCTTGAAGTACAGACTGTGCTCTAGAGCTCTGCATTGACTTATCCAAGGCTGCATCAAAATATGAGACTTCCCTGCTTTTTCATACTTCCTTCTGCACTTTTACAGGTACTACATCTTCCCTCCCCATAAGACAACAAGAAAAGAAATACCCTTAAGATTACACATAGACTTTTCTTGTATGCTTTTCCTTCTCAGCCATTAAATAATTTAAAAATTCTCTTTTTATTAGCACATATTGATAGTATAAAGGATATCACTGTGATAATTTTATACTTGTGTACAGTGCAATTATTACAAGCTCACCCTCTTTATTATATTCCTTTAGCTTATCTCCCTTCTCCCCCCTTTTCAAACAGTATTTTATGGATTTCATTATGCTTTCTTCATATACACATATATAATGTATACCCCTCTAGTATCCTCTCCTTACCCTTTCATTCCCCAAGACAATCATCCTTTTACTCTCATATACTCATGTCCCAATACTATTAATTATTATTATTACAATCATCATTTTAGGTTTAGATTCTGCATATGAGTAAAACCATAATGTATGCTTTCTGAGCTTGACTTATTTTGCTCAACAAGGTATCTCCAGTTCTATCCATCTTCCTGCAAATTACATAAAACACACTCACACAAACACATACACACATACTTTCTTCATTCATTCATTACTTTGGGGGCACCTAGATTGATTCCACAGCTTGTCTATTATGAACAGTGTTGTGATAAACACACAGATATGTCTCTTGTATGTGGATTTACACTCCTTTGGATATATGCCAAAGAGTGGAATAGCAGGGTCATTAGGTAGGTCTATTTTGACCTTTTGTGAAGAACTGTTATACTGATTTCTACAGCAGTAGTACTAGCTTAAATTCCCACCAAAAGGGTATGAGGGTTCCTTTTCCTCCATAGACCCATCAGCATTTTCTGTTGCTTGTTTTCTTGATGACTGACATTCTGACTGGGGTAAGACTTTTATTTCCCTTATGGCTAAGACTGTTGAACAATTCTTCATGAATTTATTAGCCATTTGTTCTTCTTTTGAGAACTGTCTGTTCAATTCACTTGTCCATTTATTAGTTGTGTTATTTGTACTTTTGGTGTTTAATTGTTTGACCTCTTTGTATATTCTGGATATGGATTCTTTATCTGATGAAGAGTTGGCAAAGATTTTCTCCCATTCTGTGAGTTGTTTCTTCATTCTGGTAATTAGTCTCTTTGTTGTGCAGAAGCTTTTTGATTTGATGCAAATCCATTTGTCAATACTTACATGTATTTCCTGGGCAATTGGAAGTACAATTCAGAAAATAATGGCCTACATCTATACCTTCAAGTATTTCCCCTGTTTTCAAATTTCCAATCTTACATAAAGATCTTTGATTCATTTGGAACTGATTTTTGCACAGGGTGAGAGACAGTGGTCTAGTTTCAGTCCTCTACATGTAGATAACTGGTTTTCCCAGCACCAATTGTTCAAGAGGCTTTATTTTCTCCAATGAACGTTTTTGACACCTTTGTCAAAAATCAGATGGCTGCAACTGTGTGGGTTTATTTCTAGATCTTCTATTCTGTTCCACTGGTCTTCACGTCAGTTTTTGTGCCAAAACCATGTTGTTTTTGTTACTATGGCTCTGTAGTATAATTTGAAGTCCAGTATTGTGATACCGCTAGCATTGCTCTTTTTCCTCAGGATTACTTTTGCTATTCAGGATCTTATGAATATGATATGAATATGAATATGGTCTTATAAAATTAATATGAAATTCCATATGAATTTTAGGACTGATTTTTCTATAAGAATGACATTGGAATTTTGATGAGAATTGCATAGAATCAGTAGAATGCTTTCAGCAGTATAGACATTTTTATAGTATTAATCTGCCAATCCATGAACATGGGAGGTTTTCCAATTTTCGAGAGTCTTCTTTAAGTTCTTTCCTAAAGGTTTTATAATTTTCATTGTAGAGTTCTTTCACCTGCCTAGTTAAGTTTGTTCCTAGATATTTTTAAAGGATATTGTGAATAAAATTGATTTCTTTCTCAGTCTGTTAGAATATAGAAAAGGTTTATTATATGTTAATTTTATATTCTGTTACATTGCCAAAGGTGTTTATCAGAGCTGGGAGGTTTCTGATAATTTGACTTCCTCCTTCCTTATTTAAATCCTGTTTGTTTCTTTCTCTTACCTAATTGCTCTGGCCAGGAATTTTAGTACTATATTGAATAAGACTAGGGAAAGTGGGCACCCTTATCTCATTCTTGACTTTAGAAGAAATGATTTCAGTTTTTCCCTGTTTAGTATAATGTTGGCTATAGTTTTGTCATAGATAGCCTTTATTATATTGAGGTATATTCCTAGTTTCTTCAGAGCTTTTGTCATGAAAGGATGTTGAATTCTGTCAGACTTTTTCTATTGAGATGATTATGTGATTTTTGACTTTGATTGTGTTTATGTGCCTTATTACACTTATTGATTTGCATATGCTGAGCTATCCTTGGATTTCTGGAATGAAACAAACTTAATCATAGTGTAGGATATTTTAAATGTGTTGAATTTGATTGGTAACTATTTCATTGAGAATTTTTGCCTTTATGTTCATCAAGAAAATTGGTCTATAATTGTTTGTGTGTGTGTGTGTGTGTGTCCTTATTGGGTTTTGATAATCAGGGTAACCTGGATCAAAGAATGCATTTGGTGGTGTTTCATCCCTTTCTATTTTGTACGATACTTTGAAGAGGACTGGTGTTAGTTCTTCTTTAAAGGTCTGGTAAAATTAGGTTATGAATCCTTCTAGTCTTGGGATCCTCTTTGTTGGGAGACCATTACTACTTCAGTCTCATTGCTTGATACAGATATATTTAAGTGGTTAATATCCTCTTTGTTCATTTTTGGTGGATCAAATGCATCTAGAAATTTATCCATTTCTTTTAGGTTTTCCAGTTTACTAGAATATAAGTTTTTGAAGTATTCCCTAATTATTCTCTGTAGTTCATTGGTATTTGTTGTGATATCCCCTTTTTCATCTCTAATTTTATTTTTTGGGTCTTTTCCCTCCCTTTTTTGGGTTAGTTTGGCTAAGGGTTTATCAATCTTTTTTTTTTTTCAAAGAACTAACCTTTGTTTTATTGATTCTTTAGATTTATTTCTTTAGTCTCCATGTCACTAATTTCTGCCCTAATCTTCATTATTTCTTTCACCTGCTGATTTTGAGTTTGGCTTATTTTTCTAGGAGCTTGAGGTATATCATTAGGTTATTAGAAATCTCTCTTTTTAGGTAGCTACTAATAGCTATAAACTTCCCTCTTAACCTTTGCTGTATCTTAAAGGTTCTGGTAAGTTAGTTGCATTTTCATTAGATTAGGAACTTTTTGATTTTTTTCTCCCTTATTTCTTCAATGATCCATGATTTTTCAGATCATGTGTTTGAATATGTTCTGTAGTGTCTTTTGATGTTGATTTCTAGTTTTATTCCACTGTGGTCTGATAGAAGTAAGTCCATTAAGTCTATTAAGTCCAATTGGTTTATAGGGTTGATTAATTCTGAAGTTTCTTTGTTGATTTTTTTGTCTGGATGACCTATCCCACCATTATTATGCTTTTAAGTTACCTATGCTTTTAAGTTCAATGGTGTTTGTTTAATGAAATTGGGTGTGCTAACATTTGTCCATATGTGTTAGCAATTTTTATCTCTTCTTGATGGATTGTTCCCTTTATTAATATGAAGAGACCCTCTTTGTCTCTTCTAATTTTGGTTTAAAGTCTGTTTCATTACATATGAGTAAATGTGCTTTTGAGGTCCACTTGCTTGGAAAATCTTTTTCCATCCTTTCACCTTTAGCCAATATATTTGTCATTTAACTTACTGAAAATGCATTTCAGTAAGTTAGACAGGTCTTGCTTTTTAATACAACCTGCCATTCTATGTCTTTTAATTGGACAACTGAGATCATTATAGTCAGTAATAATATGGAAAGGTATGTGGTATTTTCTATCATCTTATTGTTTTTGTGATGTTTGCTTCTTTCCTAACCCACTTTTGCTTAATACTTGTTCAGTAAGATTTATTCTTTCTTGTATTTTCCTAGTTGTGTTTATCTTTCTCTTCTGTGTGCAGGATTCCCTTCAGTATTTTCTGTAGAGCTGGCTTAGTGAATTCCTTTAGTTTTTGTTTGTCA